ATCCAGAAGCTGCTAATCTTAGCTCTTCTCTGGTTTATGATGATGGTATCAGGGTCTCTTGGACTGGAGCCACTTGGTTATCATCACTTAGACTCTCAGTCCATCTCTCATCAGTTTATGAAGTTGATGTGAAGAATGTAGCTGGAACAACACATTATGATTTTATTCCAGTGACTTCTGGTGACTACAGCTTTCAATTAACCAGTGTTGATTATTCTGGAAATGATATTGGCTCTATGAATAGCACATCCACTCCTTGGAAAGGTAACTGCAATAGTATGATTATTAATTATTGTTAATTTTCTTTAGAGCCTAAAATATCTGTTGATACAAATGTTAACAAGAATATTGCCAATTTTACAATTAAGGTATAAGAAAGTAATGTAGAGCCAGTACTTGCTTTTATGAAGTTTTTAAGCTTCATTTAATTTTCAATTAGAATAATGATGATGAACGACCTCCAGTTACTAACTGTAGCATTACTTTTGATGATGTCTTGAAATCATGTGTCATGAAAAATATTGTTATCTTTAGCATAACATCAGGAGCTAAGCACTCTTACAATATAACTGTCACTAATGCTGCTGGAACTGTTAGTATGAATGGAGGTAAGTTAAGATGTTTTTTATCAAGAGTTAATATTAATCTTCTTTAATAGAGCTAAGTAATGAAGTATATAATACAACAATGAAACTCAGTGCCTCTATAGGTAATGAATGATAACATTAATTCAATAATTGCCACTGAAATATTAATCATAGATACCCTTGCAATTGCTGCTTCACCTACTGTTCTTGGAGTATTAATAATATTGTCTATTTGTTGGATATTGCTGAGGATATGCTGGAAGAGACAATGGTGCTGTCCCAGGATTTGGAGGAGTAGCTTTTGGTTGCTTTTCTTTTGCTATGATTGTTGTACTTATAATGCTGGAGGTATTAAACACATGTTTTAATAACTTTGATATCAGTTATCTTTTATACAGTAAAAGGAAAGACCACTGCTATAAATGCAGGTTTAGAAAATCCAACTGTTGGAGGGGAAAAGGGAGCTGATACAACTCTTTAACTTTGTGTAACTTTAAGTCAAAAACTTGCTGATGCCACCTCTGTAGTTATCTAAATTCACAATGTTATTTTACAAAAATGTATTAATAAAGCTTATACTCAACAGAAGTTGTTTAACCGTCTAAATTCTAATACTTCAATAATACAAAAATACAAATATATAGGAATCACTATAAGCAGAGAGTATATCAGTATATTATCAGTATATTATCAGTATATTAACAGTATATTAATTGTATATCAGAATGTCATATTGTCCATTACTGAAGTCCAGCTAATAGTAGAGACCCATGATGGTAATAATGATAATAACTGCTGTAACTCATCACTGGTTGAT